ATGTCATAACTTTTTGTTTTGACTATTCCGTAAATAATATTTGCAGAAAAAGCTACAAACAACTTTCCGTGACTATTTAAAGTAACGGCTTGTGTAACGAAAATGTCCAAGATATTTCTATTCCGTGTCTTTTGATTATTTCGTCACAAAAATTGTCACGAAATTTTTTCTTGACTATTTTAAGTTGCTGCAAAAATAACCAAAATAGTTTCAACATTTTAAATTATTACAGATATTGTCATAGTATAATTTTTGTGACTTTTTAAAATCAAATGTCACAACATAAGTAACGAAAATAACTATAAATTTGTTTGTAGCTATTCAAAGTAATAACAAAATAATAAAATCATCTTCAATATCTTTATTCAATATCGTTCGTAGCTATTCAATTTTTTGTTAAAAATTCATGATGATATATTAAATAAATATGTATATATTTTTAAAAGATAAATTAATAATCAATAATATTTATATAGTTAAAATATAATAACAAACAAAAAGTAATACTTTAGAGTAGATAGCTAAGTTGGCATGACAGGTCGTGTAAGTCGTGTGGTACGAAGTAATTCCGAAAAAAAATAATCGTGTGTGGTTGCATTGAACACAAATTATAATATAATTTTTTTTTTCAAAAATATAAAATTACGGAATTGTTACAACTTTCGCCAATATAAAGTCACAGAGGTGTAATGGTATTATTTTGTAACTTATTGTCACGAAAATGTCACAATTATAAAATATTTACGAAATTTTGTTGCAGCTTCTGTTGCTATATAAAGTCACGGACATGTCATAGTATTATTCTATAACTTATTGTCACAGAAATGTCACCATTTAAAAAAAGTCACCAGCAAAATTCAACGGAAATAGTTCCGTATATTTTTCCGTGACTTTTTAGTAAAAAGTCACCAATTTGTACTAAAATCGTGACTTTTTTTACCGCAGCTATAGCCTAATTTTCTGGTAGTGAAAGTGCTCACTGAATAAATCCCCGACCGAACCTAATACCTTGCAAACCAAGCCCGATGAAAAAGTCACAACAGACGAACTATGTGTGGCAGGTGACCTCAGGCGTCGGAGATTTGAACTCCACCGGACAATTATATTTGCACGCAAGATGTTGGATTGGAAGTGTTGAACTTAATTGTTCAAATACGACGAAGTCTGAGAACTACGTACACAAACAAAGATCATCGCACAACTTGTGCTATACGCGCACACAACACTACAAATCCAGCTTTCCAGTTCCAGATATATATATATATATATATGTTGAGACTTGAGAATAATAAATAAGGTATGTAGGTATCGTATAGTAGTACCTTACGCTAAAATATTTTGAAGCCCCCAATCCCCTTCAGTTCATGTGGAGTAGAGAGAGATCAGGAGAGAACATTTTATAATTTAATTAATACCAAAGCTGATCATCATATTATTATTATTAAACAAGTGTTGTTCTTCTAGTTAATCTTGACTGGATGTTCAAACACTTCAAACACTATCATGGAGTATATAAATTAATTAAAAAAAAGAGAAATTCTCCTTGTTCTGTAGCTAAAGTGGTTGCGTTATCTTGTGCCTTTTTACACTATAATCGCTTTTTCCATGCATCTTTTTGTAATCAATCAATAAACAGTGGCGTGCATGGCGTGGCATGCAGAGAATATATAGTAGGTGAGAATTAAGCCTGCACCTCCATCTGAGATTATACTCAAAAACACATACATATACGTCTATATGTATATGATTGATTCTCTATAGATCCATATGCTGATCTGACGACTAGACTGGTGATAGATGATAATTAATTGAAATGCAGATAAATTTGGACCCCAATTGAAGTCCCTGTCATTCTAAGTTGGAAGAAGAAAGGCTCATGTGTGCATAAAGCGTATACACTATGAGACTTAATTTCTGGATGCATATGTCATCGCCAGTAGTGTTCTGTGACAATGTCTTAGCTTAGGGATCATGTGCTTTCTTTCTCTCAATTATTGGCTCACCAAGGCAACAATCGAAACAGACTTTGAGGGGTTACCTATACTCCTCTCCAAGAATAACAAATACTTGAAATATAAATAAATAAATAATTTAAAAAAAAAAAAAAGATTAAAGCTTTAGGGGCTTGAAGAAAAGAAGCAATCCGTGAACGTTTATGGGTTGCTATTGGCCACACATTTCAGAAAACACTAATCCAAACAAACGGATAATGACAAGCAATAGAAATGCATGTGTGTGTGTGTGTGTGAATATTAGGCATGGGTCCGACGGCTGAGATGAGCCCACGTAATGCAAACAGAAATCTCCAACTGAAGTTTCACATGCTACACAAACCAAACCAAACCAAACCACCATATGTTTTAAGGACAGCAGATAGATAAGGAAGGCAGCGAGTATTGTAACTATTATTTGTAAGTGTAAGTGAAACCCAGCCAAGCTAAGTCATGCCCTCATCATCATCGTCATCATTTGGTTAGGAAGGAAACTGTGGGTGGGGTGGGGTGGGGTGGGGTGAGAGCCGGCAATGGGTGGTGGATTCGTGTTGGGTTGAATACCTTAAATGAGTTAAATTATTCAATTCTAACCTGACTCGTTTATTATCGTGTCGTGTTCGTGTTGATCCGTTTATTATCGTGTCGTGTTGGTGTTGACCCATTTATTATCGTGTTAGGTTCGGGTTGACTTGTGTTGACCCGTATACAGAATTAACTCGAAATTTTTTATTCAAATTAAATTATATTTTGTCCGTGTTGTCGTTTTATGTTAGTTCTTATTGGTTTGAGCGCAATATATAGAATGAATCAGGTTAAATCATTTACAATTGAACTTAGTTTAAATTATTTATGGACAAATTATTAAATTATAATTATTTTACATAATTAAATCGTAACAATAATAAATATATTTATCAATATTAATATATTATAATCAGGTTATCGTGTCGGGTTCAAGTGGAGAGTCTCAACCCTAATTCGACCTGTGTTTATTATTGTATCGGATTCTTGTCAATCCGTGTATATAATCAGATTGAAATATTTGACTCAAATCCAATTATTTTGTGTCGGACTCGCGTGAAGTTGTCTAGTTTGGTCAGTTTTTGCCGGCTTTAGGTAGGGTGTAGTGTGGTCTAGAATCAATCCCAAAATCATAGAATTGAGCTAGCGATTAATATTCCAGGTTCACGAGACACGTATACTTCCTCACACACACACACACACACGTGAGGGTGTTCGTTTTGTGAGAGAGAAAGAGTCACGAGGTTACAGCTATATATATATATATATATATATATTTGTTTTGTGACGGCTTAGAAGCTTTTCCATATCCCCCACATTGATATGAAATGAAATGCAATCATGTTGCCAATATTACCTTAGCATAATAATCAACACAACTTACTTTTCCAGAGATTCACTATATATAAAATAAATAAACAATAATTAAATACCATTTGATTGGTATTCTAATGTCTATTTTTAACTGTTTTTTTTGGCAAAAATATATTAGAGATATTTTAGATATTTAATTTTAAATTTAATAAATTTATTTATTTAATTTACCCCAGGCTAAAAAGCATGCACTACTACAAATGCCAGTGGTAGAAAGTTAAGTGAAAAGGGAGGCTTCTGACATCCTGTGAAGAAATGTCAGCAGAGGTCAAAGCCCCACCCATTGCAAAAAAAAAAAAATTAATTTAATTCATCAAAGTTACATGAAAACGAAATTACGCTCCACAACAAAACCCACGCAAAATTCAATTAAATGTGACAGTAACAAACACAATGCACAAATTCAATTAAAAATAAATTCACCAATTTCTATGCTCTGTGTCTTCTTCCACCTACCTACCAGAAAAAGATTGCATTTTTACAAACCCTTCTTTGTATTAGTCTGTGCGTGGCGTGGCGTGGCGTGTGTGTGTGTGTCCAAAATACAATATGCATGCATGTGAATGAATCAAGAAAGCAAGCATTATATCAGATAAATCAATCAGTTGGTTTTACAGATTATTATTACAACTAATACGAATGACTATTGGTGGGACAGTTGGTTTATGTATATAGTACTGTGCCTGCCAATTCTGTGAAAAATAAAACAGCAGTGAATAAATTAATACCATGGGCGTCCCTCTGGCTGTCTTGTTTCCTTCCTCCTGGTTTTTACTTGTTTTGATTGTTTTTATACACAAATGGCAGTTGCCCAAAAACCCCTCCATTTCTAAAACAGCATGATTAATCAAGAAACAGTTGTTTTTATTTTTTGAATTGAGATTGTTGAATCTATTAGATTTTAATGTGTATGGTGTGGGGTTAGGACATTAATAAATTTATTAAATAATATGGAAGAGGGCAGACAGAATAAGCAAAGATTAGTGCAAAAGTGAAGCCCGTGAAGCAGGAGAGAGTGAGGATGAAAAACAGAGAGAGAGAGAGAGGATAGATAGATAGAGATGTTGTAATAACCACACAGACATAGGCTGCCCTTTGGGCTTTGACAATCCAGAGACACACACTCATTCACGTGCATGCTTGAACCTATCTCTTACATCAAATATAATAATAATAATTAATACATACAATGGCGCCATTAGAGGGGTTTTGGAAGCATAATTATTAATTTAATTTGTTAGAATGGAGCCTTTACTGCAACTAATTTCAGAAATGCGTTGGCAAGCTGCTACTTAGGATTAATGTGTTCCGACATAACAGAAAGTGTTTTTCGTATAAGGTCCGGGACCAGTTTTACACAGAGCTAGAGCAAAACCAAAGCAATAATGTGCTCACCACAAAGGAATGAAAAACAGTTATTACATGAGTTATTGATCCAGGCAAGAGTAAACGCTCCAGGACTTGAACACCACCATCGACATGGCGTGTGTCGATTCGGCCGGAGTCCAACTCCCAGGGCCGCCAAAAGAAAAGCCTCATACTATGACAACAGTTCAGTCTCATTCCCTCGTCCTACACTTTCTAGCTTTTATATATCTACACACAGAAACCAAAAGCCCATCTCCACTACTTTTCCCCTGCCCGCCACCGCCACCACCACCACCCTCCGCCACGCCACCACTGGTATATCCCTAAACAACAAGAAACCAAACAATGTCCACCTCCTGCATCAAAAACCTTACAGCGATGATCGTCATTGTGCTCCTCGTATGGTGTTCCCACATGGACACATACCATGCAAGAAGACATCGGAGGCAGAGTCGAAGCACCACAGCCACCTCTCTCTCTAAGAAGAAGCCCAAATCCAGGAGCAGCCATGGCTCCACCCACCACCGTGCCAAGTCAAAGTCAAAGTCAAACCCCAAACCCCCGCCTCCCGCTCCTCCTCCGGCCGCCGCCGGAAATCCTAAAGTCATCCCTCCTCCTACTCACACTTCATCGGTTTTCAATGTCGTGGATTTTGGAGCCAAAGGAGATGGCACCTCAGATGACACTAAGGTAGGTACTCAAGAAACGACATTCTAACTGTCCAACACATCATCACCTCATTACCTCTGCCAGGTTGATAAGCTGTCTGAAACAGGATGATTAATTCCCCCTTGCACTTGTCTTAATTAATGGAATGTGAGTGACTTTTTATGGTTTTATCCTATCTTTTGAGCACTAAAGTTCACATGCCCTTCCTTAAAGTCCCTGAATAATGAATGCTTAGAAAATTAAACAAGGCCCTTTTACTTGAATCTATCAGTTCATTTGACTGTTAGAATGAAAAGAATTCGTATTATAAAGATAGATATATAGCAGCTCCAAGTGAATTGAGTGTGTGTGAAAATGTCTTAATACTAGTTAATTACTACTGCAGGCATTCCAAGCTGCCTGGGCTGCTGCTTGTAAGGTTGAAGCCTCCATGGTTAATGTGCCAGCAGAACATGTATTCCTAGTGGGGCCCATTTCATTTTCTGGTCCATACTGCCAGCACAACATTGTCTTCCAGGTAACTAACGATTTAACTGTCAAATGCTTAGTTATTTCAAAGTTTAATGAATTGGTCTGGTGCAGCTGGATGGTACAATTATTGCCCCAACAGGATCGAGTAGTCACTGGGGATCAGGCCTTTTCCAATGGCTGGAGTTCACCAAACTGGTGGGACTCACAATCAGAGGCAGTGGCACCATCAATGGAAATGGAGCTGTTTGGTGGAAGAATTCCCCATATGACGATGATGATCCTTTGGATGATCAAGCTAAGCTCATTTATCCCCCAAACACCACCTTGCCTCTTATCCCTACCTCTCTTGCTGGGAAAATGCCAAGCATTAAACCAACTGTAAGCACCCCACCCCACCCCACCTCACCTTCCTTCATTTCTATTCTAGCATATAAAAAAATTTGTACATTCTTTCTTGGAACAACGGACAGGCTGTGCGATTCTACGGAAGCTTCAATGTGACGGTAACCGGGGTGACAATTCAGAATAGCCCGCAGTGCCATCTCAAGTTTGATAACTGCATCGGAGTCTCGGTGTATAATCTCAGCGTGTCGTCGCCAGGGGACAGCCCCAACACTGACGGGATTCACCTGCAGAACTCCAAAGACGTGCTCATTCGAAGCTCCAATCTAGCCTGTGGTAAACATATTAGTTTTATTTGTTACTCGTTGGTTCCTTCCAGTTATGAAGCCTGGACATCATATATCTATGTGATCCATTTTCTGTTGTTGGACTTGGAGTCTTATCCTTACCTTACAGTTACAGACAGGGTGAGGGATGGGGTGGGGTGGGGGGACCTTTCATAAACTCACACCCTTGTAGTAAAGGCAATTAGGTCCTCACGAGAGTTTTCGGACCCATTGTCATTGTTGCCATGAATTGTCTGTCTTGTCCTGATCACAACAGAACAGTAATGAATGAGACAAACTCACCAAAAGAATATGCAGAACGAGAGAGAACAATAATACTTCAGACATAACATAATGTCTTAACTCTATACTAAGCAAAAGTAACATCTTCCTTCTCTTGCAGGGGACGACTGCGTGTCGATCCAGACAGGATGCTCCAACGTGTACATACACAACATAAACTGCGGACCGGGGCACGGCATCAGCATCGGCGGTCTAGGAAAAGACAACACCAAGGCTTGCGTGTCGAACATCACTGTCCGCGACGTCGTCATGCATAACACAATGAACGGTGTCCGGATCAAAACATGGCAGGGCGGGTCGGGATCAGTTCAGGGAGTGCAATTCTCGAACATCCAGGTATCGGAGGTGCAGCTGCCAATCGTGATCGATCAATACTATTGTGACAAGACCAAATGCAAGAACCAGACATCTGCAGTGGCTCTGTCCGGGATCAACTACGAAAACATAAGGGGCACGTACACGGTTAAGCCCGTGCACTTGGCCTGCAGCGACAGCTTGCCATGCACCGATGTCATCCTTACAAACATACAGCTGAAGCCGCAGCAAGAACACTACCACATGTATGATCCTTATTGCTGGCAGACATTCGGACAGCTCTATTCGCCCACGATCCCGCCGGTGGAGTGTCTGCTGGTCGGAAAGCCGTCGAGCAACCGGATTCAGGGGGACAATGATTCTTGCTGATTGAGCAGAGCACACACACAAATATATATATATATAGATATATTTGAGAAACAAGATTAAGGCGATGAATATGAGTGATGATGAGGATTGGTGGTGGTGTGTGTAAATAGAGTAATGGAAGTGTATGTTAATTTGTATACTTTTTGTGTGGTCGGCAATGCTGCTGCTGCTGCTGCTGGCCCCTCCTCGCACCATTACTATTGAAATGTTGCTTCATGATTTTAGCAACAGTGAGTAATAGATGATAATGAGGATGATGATGATGATGATACCTATTGTTTGTTTCCTACTAGATCGTCAGAGCTTCTCTTCTGTTTCATTTATCATTATTATTTTTAGATATTAAATACAACTAAGCTTTATTATTCAAGTATAACACAAAAGTAATATCCAACAGCTTCATTTAGAAGCTAAAAAACACATTACAAGCACAAGCAGTCCAGCCCTTCCGAACCAGATATGCTCTCTCTAATATTATAAAGACGGTTGTGTATATAGTTTAGTCAGAAAATGCATGTGGACACATGGGTGCCGCATCATTTATTAAAATTATTTTATAAAAAAATCATAATAGGCAAGCGACACGTGATGTTAAGTTATTATTATTATTATAATGATTTATTTTCTAAAATATGGATGTGTTTATTTGGCTTTTTTGTTTACTATTTTCAATCTATATAATTTCTTTTTTATAAAAAATATTATTTCAAAATAATATATAAGCAGAACACTAAAATCTAAAAAAACACCAAACAAAAATATCTATAGTATTGTAGTTTGCAAGATAGTCGTCAATGGAATATAATATTGCAAACAAAAACATCGTGTCCGGACAGCCTCTTTAGTTGAAGTAAAGTAAGAATATTTATAAAGTAGAAACCGTAGGCCCACACTTGCCCCATGTTAGTTATATCTAAATCAATATCTCAAGATTTACATACAAGACTGATGACATCTCTTACTTTCACATTTTATTGCAATCGATTTTCAACATATGGGCAGAATTTTCAACTCCGTGAATCTTCATAAGCTGCAACTTCTTCTTTTCGATGACTTAACGTATTGATAACTTCAAATTTGAACATATTTTCTATTTTCAAAACATATTTATACTAAAGTCAAATTAAAGCAAAAATTCAAAGTCGAATTCTCCAAAAAATTCAGTCTGACTAAGCCCCGAAAGCTAGTGAATTTTCACCGCTGAACCAATGGTCTTTGAAGTGAAATCTAAAAATTACTAAAGCGAAGAGGGCGTCAGAGTGGTGTAACCATTCAATCTCAACTCACGATGAAGACCATCGTTGCTCTGAGTGACGTCAATGCCCATCGCTGACCATCGCTATCGACTATCGAATCTGAATATATTTCTGTTACAGAGGCTATTTAAGAAGCTTTATGGCTTAAAGGCTTGTTGACAGAACTTAGATACTTGGAAGGTAAGGTACATGTATTTTTCGATAGTCAATCAGGTATTCAGTTGTGTAAAAATCCGGTGTTTCACGCCAAACATATTGATGTTAGATTTCATTTTATACGTGATATTGTTACTAAAGGCCTTATAAAACTTGAAAAAATTCCTTCTCAATTCAACCGGCTGATATGGTCACTAAGTCATTACCTGTTGCTAAATTTGAGTTGTGTTTGAAAATTTTAAATTTTGATACAGCTTATTAGGTGTTAATACCCTTAGGTGCCTCTTCAATCATGTCCCAAGGTGGAGAAAATGTTCGGTTGTCCCTGATATATTTTGCGGCCTTACGTATTTTTGTTCAACCCACATAAGTTGTCTTGGCCAGGTTGTTGGCCCAATCCAATTCTTGGCCCACTGTTCAACATCGATGAATCTCGATTGTTCGATCTTGTGATATTTTGTGAACCGTCTGATCTGATTTAAGGTTTGATATATGTTTATACCTATGTACTGCGCCGTGGCTGCGATCTCTCCTCCAACTCGTCTTCTTCATCCGCTTGCTCTTGTAGATAGCTGGATAGGGATTTTTCTGTAATTCTTCTAAAGATTGTAATAAGCGAGGCTTATTAATGTGATTGGTGAGATATTAGCGTAAATTCGTGACATTCTAGCGATAGTGAGGGATCGATCAATTTGGTTAGGGTTTGTTCGATTTTGGTGAGATTTGGGGCCATTCTCGACTGTTTAGCCGCACTGGGCTAAGGTAGCATCCTCGTCGTCCCTTTCTAACAATAAGGGTGTGCTAGGGGTTGAGGCTCAAACATTTCTTTGTATTTCTATGTTCTCTTTTTTTGGTTCGATTCAATACAAGCAAGATTTAGAAAATCATTTTTTGTTTGATTTTATTATCAAGTTTTTCATATAAAAACACAACACAACCATTTCTTAGATTTGCTATATATTTACTTGTGTCGGTATTATGGTGTCCTGAAGATCCACTGAACAAATATTAACCGTGACATCTTCAAATCATGTTGAAATAATAACAATCCATGATGCTATTCGAGAGTGTCTGGTTGAGATTAATAACTCACCATATTTGAAAGAATTGTGATTTGAGATTTGAAAAAAAAAAAAAAGAAATTCTATTATTTTATACGAAGATAATACAACTTGTATAAATCAATTAAAAGAAAAATATATCAAATGAGATATAACAAAATATATTTCATCAAAAATTTTATTTGATCAAATAAAAATTTAACAGATTTATTGACCAATGTTTTACCAACTACAACACTCGAAAAATTAATAAAGAATATTGAAATGTGTTTGATTGCGAAATTTAAATGATGTCTACGTCAAAAATATTATTTTAATATATGAATGACGTACTTTGTTTTTATTCACTAGAATTTTTATCTCATTGAATTATTTTTTAATAAAAATATTAATGAAACATATCAATTGCAATTAACTACACATAAAAGTGAGTGTTAGAACATACATTGCCAATTTAATAATAATAGATGTCATGAATAATATTGTGTCTTCATATTATGATGCCACATTATCAAAATTGATGACAATTTGTATTGTTAATAGCTTATAAATAAATCTTGTACTTAATGGAAATCAATATAATTTTTACTCTCAAATTTTGTTATCCATCTCTTTATTATTTAAAACACAGATATATTATATATATAGCGTGTTTGTTTGGGGTTTGGATTTTGAGTTGAGATTTAAATAGTAAAAAATTTTGAATTTGAATAGTTGTATGATGTGATATAAATAGGTATTGATGTGATGTTTTGAATATAAAATTAATTTTTAGTATAATATAAATATAAAAAATAGATGTTTGATTTGATATTTTTTTTTTAAAAAAAAATGAAATAAATAATACAAATCTTCACAAATCCCTCGAATAAACACACCCTGAATAAAAAAGTACACACACTTGTACATGCATTCATGTATATACTTCCATTAAAATATATATATATATATTATAATAATAATATTTTATAGTCTTATATAATAAAATTTTCCTTATCTTACATAACACTCTTATTTAATGTAAAAACCTCAAGTTGTGTCTGCACTTAGTCTAATGTGACTTACCCATCGGACTTGGTTGCTGGATATTTACCGAGTGAATACTTTTGGGGAAAAAAAAACAAAAATTCAAGATGTTATTTAAATTAGAGTTGTCAAAATAGGTTGAGCCTGTCGGATTGGCCCGCCCGCCTCACTTTTTAGGAGGGTTGGGTTGTAATTTTGTAAGCCCGTTAAGATGCGAGCCTAAACGGGCCAACTCACGTGGGCCGTAGGTTGAGAGTGGGTTAGCCCGCAGTGGGACGAGTTAATCCGCGGGCTAAGTAAATATAATAATTAGTTTCACCCGTATCAATTAAATATTTTTTTAATTATTTTTTACTGTCATATTAATAAATTATAATAAAAGTAATCAAATATTAATATCAGAATATATTTTTATTTTATATAAACTACAAATATACCATTATAAATACAATTAATTTATAAATAATGTACAAAGAGAAAAAAATATCAAAATCATCATGTATATTTTATTTAATAAATAATATATTATTATTTTTAATCTACTGAAAAGATATATTTTTAGTTAAGACGAATAAAATTAGCTTAAATAAATTAATCAATATTGTCTACACGTTGCTTTTATTTTCTAACTCTGTTATCAATGTCACTTTTATTTATTTCAATTTTTCATAATTTGTTTTGTTCGTCTTCCAATTTATTGTTTTATAATATTTTTTTATTCTAGAATCTACATTTTTATAAAATTAATTATGATTTATTTGTAAATATTTCTTACTATTAATTTTTTTAAACACACTAACTAATACTATTTAGAATTAAATTTTTTTTATATTTTTTTATTTATTTTAAAATATTTATTATTTAAATTTTACAATAAAACTATTTTTACCTATTTTTAAATATTAATTACGAAAATATTTATAATATTATTTTTTTTAAAAAAGCCCGTGGGCTAGCCCGCTTAGCTTGCCACCCGCCGGTGGGTTGGGTTGGGTTGATGAAATTCTGATCCGCTTTACCGCGGGTTGGCCCGCAAACAACCAGCCTATCTGCGGGTTATGGTGGGTTGTGGGTCAATCCGTCCCGTTAATCCGTTTTGACAGGTCTAATTTAAATACTCACTCTGTCATGAAAGGTTGTCATTTTTCATTTTCGTCTGTTGTCCCACAATAAGGTTACCATTTCCTAGTTTAGTAATTGTAGTCTCTACCTAATATAATAAATACCTTTCCAATTTACGTTATATTACACAAATATCATTACTTTTATATTACACAATACTAATAGGGGTATTTTCGTCTTTTTCACTACAATTTATTATAATATTAATATTAAAAATCTATGTGCAAAAAGTAAATGACAATCTTGCACCGAGATAATTAGTGGGAGTAATTGATTTTTTAAGACAGGCAAGTGCAAAAGGGCATACTATTACTACTACTTCATTCGTCCAGGTATAAAATATACATATTTTTATTTTGTAACGTCCAATTACAAAGTAAATATTTCATTAAATACTTCATTTTTTTTTTAAAATACATTTATTTTACATCACATTGTTATTTTTATATTAAAAGATAAAAACAAAAATATTATTTTATTACTTTAACTACCCATTACTTTGTGTGTGGACGGAAGAGGAGGGAGTACTAATTAAAATGGTAACTCGACAGCTGTAATCCAATGTGAAAATTACCGTACCAGCCGAAGATGGAGTGGATCCAACGGAGGAGGACTCAATGTGGGATCCACAGCGTGGTTTTAGGGAAATTAGTGGGAAATGCGGATATTATGACCGAGCGAACGCACCTCCCACGTATAAATGCCCACCGGTTGACGATTCCTCATTTCTTCTTTTCAGTCTAGTCTTGCTCCTTATTTTTCACGCCAACGCACGATCCGTTCGTGCTCTCCGACGCTACCAAGATCTACTGCTTGCAGGTGCCTGATGATTCGATTCTTATATTAGTTTTTTGTGTTTCCGTGTTTGTGAGGGCTGCTTTCATTTCTTGGATGATTTATGCGATTTTAAGTTGTATGTTATATGATCTCTTGTGTCTGTCGTCTGTGTTGATTAGGTTTTTGATATATGGTACTTGCGATTGTTAATTTTGGCGTCGATTGAATGGCTGCTGGACTTTTGTGATTGATCGGAGGGAAATAGCATTTCTGTGTTGATTGAGTTTATATTTGGGGGCTAGATCTATTGATTTTGCAGCTGTTTTGTTTCCACGGAATAATTCTGGAATTATTTTATTTATTTATTTTCAGATTTTGAAATTTTGCCGGAAACCTTTTGATCTGATTGATCCCTTGTTAAAAGTTTTGATACTCATTCATGATCTGAAAGTCTTGATGTTGTAGATAGTTTTTATGGGCTTTGATTTTTCTTCTAGATCCTCTGATTTGCTTCAATTTCAATCTCGAGGTGAGGTTTCTCTACAACAGGCTAATTCTTAAATTTGGAAAAATATTTGTTTTTGTTCCCATCGATTTGATCATGTATCTAATCGTAATTCTTTAATCTTGCATTTCTAGATCTTATGCGTATAGTTAGAGAAGGTTCTCAGATGATCTGAATTGATTGAAGTCACAATAGTAACATCATATTTGCTTGTTTGTGTATCAAGTCCTTCGGTTAGAAAGTGCCTAATCCTTCGGTTTGGATGTAGTTATTTCCTAAATACCATGATAAGTATACACAAAATGCGCATTAGACTTTATCTACCTTGGGCATGATGCACTAGGCTGTGTCAATTATGCTGAAGGAACCTTACTACAGTCTACACTTGTTTATGGTTGATTTCATGAGATGCATATAATGCTGGTAATGTATATCTTAGCATAAATGGTTGCATAATGGCATACAGGGTTGAGAAGCTAGAAAGAGTAATGGGGTTGACATTCACAAAGCTTTTCAGTCGGCTTTTTGCCAAGAAGGAGATGCGTATTCTTATGGTTGGTCTTGATGCTGCTGGTAAAACTACCATCCTGTACAAGCTGAAACTTGGAGAGATTGTCACTACTATTCCTACCATTGGTATGGCTTCCTTAGTCTGTAACTTTTCATTGTTGAACTTGTCTCTTGTTTAGGATTTTCTTGTTTTTAAATTGTTGAATTTTATCTAATATGCCTGTGCTTACTCATGGTACTCAGGCTTTAATGTGGAGACTGTTGAGTACAAGAACATCAGCTTCACTGTTTGGGATGTCGGGGGTCAGGACAAGGTCAGAAGTTAATATTTATTTATCTGGTTATTTGGTTTTCGTGCAATGTTACAAGTATCAAAATATAATAACTTGTTCCAATTGAGCTTCTTTTATGCAATTTCATCGCACGGGATAGAATTAGATGTTCTTAGATGCTTTGAAGTAGCTTACATGTGACTCAACTTGAATTGCATTTGCTATGCTGTTACAGATCCGTCCATTATGGAGGCACTATTTCCAAAATACCCAAGGGCTCATCTTTGTGGTGGACAGCAATGATAGAGACCGTGTTGTCGAGGCAAGGGATGAATTGCACAGGATGTTGAATGAGGTAATAATCCAGTTTCAGCAGAAATTTTATCCTATCTCATGCCATGCTTTTCAGAGAATCGGTTCACCTTAATGTAAGACTTTCAGATCATATCTTATCGACTATTGCTAGTTGCTTTACAATTTATTTTATCGATAAGAAATAGGTTTAAAAAGAACTAACTAATTAATACTTACAGATATTATTAGTTATACCATTGATGGTATTCTTCTTGTATTCACAAACGTCTTCTTCTGTAACATTCTCAGCAACCTAAGCTATTGCATATATTTGTTTGATTTGATGAGACTAACTGAAGGAAAGGAACTATATGGGACAAGTTTATTTATTGTTATTGCAAACATAACCAACTTACTATTGTGGGACAATACATGCACATTTCTGCGTGGGCAAATCATGAGAGAAGATTATAAACTGAACTATGGTGGCACGTTCTTTATATGTTATTTCTTGCATTGGATGCACAACAACACCCTGAGAGCTACATTCTTGTTAATATTAACAGTCTATTTCTTGTTAGCAAGTAAATGTGTTAATGTAGAAGATTGTGCTGGATTGTTTCTGCTGTTAAGCTTGTTTGACTGTGTGGTTGGAAATATTGGTTGTTCCTTTCAGGATGAGCTGAGAGATGCTGTATTACTTGTATTTGCAAACAAACAAGATCTTCCTAATGCAATGAATGCTGCTGAAATAACTGACAAGCTCGGCCTACACTCCCTCAGGCAGCGCCATTGGTAAACATTCTTTCCCTTTATATGATAGGATATTAAGTTAAAGCATTTAGTGCCACAATTAAGCTGTTTCTTTTGGCATGCATGTAGGTACATCCAGAGCACCTGTGCTACCTCAGGGGAAGGTCTCTATGAGGGACTCGACTGGCTCTCCAACAATATAGCCAACAAGGCAAGCAACTAAATTCGAAAATTATCTCAAAATTTGATTGCTTTCGGATGTTATATTGTTTTTGACTCTCGCATGCATTACTTTCACAGAGTTAAAAGCAGATGGGCTCTTTTGGAGTTCTCCACAACCTCCTCTACTTTTTGGTGTCATATTCTTTAGCTATGTGTGTGTGTGTATTTTCGGTTTGTTATTATTTTTGGTTTGTACGTGGTGGCTGTGTTTTTGGTTGGACCTTTGAATATGGCTGTACAAGTCAATAGTGTTTGTTTCACATATTTGCAGAACTGAAGACATTATACTACTCTACTACCATATTATCATCCTTCAATTGTGGGGGCCCCACTATGACTGCATAACGTTTCCATCACATTTACCTTTGGCCCAAACATGTGAGAAATTCCCATTCCGGCTTCCGTCTCATTTTTTAATTATTATTTATATTGTATACAATTTTTAGTAAAATTGGACTCTCTCCGGCTAAAATATAAATTGTCCACATTTTTTATTTTAATTTGTCCTATGCAATTTGTAATTTTTTTTAAAAAAATATAATTATACATTTTAATTATATTTTATAATTTATAATTAATTTTAATTTTAATTATATTATACCATAATTATTTTTTTTAAATAATTAATTATTTATATTTTACTAAAATTTTCGTGTCAATATAGATAATTTATTTGGGACTGAGCAGTAATTTTCTTAAGCAAAATTTATAATTAAATTAATCGATATCAAATTAAATATTTTACAAAGTTTCATAAAAAAAATTAGTACAAAAATAATATATTTAAAATTATATAAATTAAACTCCTAAAATATTAATATATTAAATTCGAGATTTTATTCCATTTTTACTATTTATTAGAATTATTTTCCTAAAAATATTAAATTTATATATATTTTTATATTATATTAAAAAATTAATTTTATATTCAAAATATTACGTCAATACCTCTTTATATCGTCATACGGTGTAGACGTAGCTGAGGTCGTTTCCATGATGATTTTATAAATTTTTTCGAATTAATCTAAAAGTAAAGGTATGTTTAGTTTGGCTAAAATAACAGCTTTTTACTATTTTGATTTTGACGTTTTTCAAAAAAATATATATATTTTTTCTCTTGTAAATATCCCATTATATTTATTTTAATGCCAAATTTAAACCAATTTTTTTTTAAAACCATCTAAAGAAACATACTATAACTTTTAATTTAATAGACAAAAATTAAAAGGTCAGACTTGGTGAGATGGGACACCTCTCCTGTATTTTTTTCTTTTTATCTCTTTCTCACTCTTCCTATTCTTTTTGTCTGTCTCACATGTTCTTCCTTCCTCTCTTTCTTTCTCTCTCACGTTCTCTTTTCTCCTTTTCCTTTTCCTTTTCCCTTTCTCTCTTCTTATTTCTTTCTATCAGCTTTTCTCTCTTCCTCCCTCCCTCCCTCCTTTATTCTGTTTCGTCTTTTTTCCTGATTGTCTCTGTCATGCCATAGTTAAGCTATTGGACAATTTTTCTTTAGTTTTTTTTATCAAAATTTATTAAATAGTTGAACACGTGTGTATTTACATGTACTATGGAGGTTTTTTACACAATGGGCAACTACAATTGCTCCTGAGAAGAAGATTCGGGTATGCTGAAAGATTAATAACATGGATTCATTACACCATTGACAAGCCATTAGCAATATCAGCTACCAACTTTTTATAACCTATTTAAAGAGAATTTTGGTGTATATTTATGTTTCGTATCATAGTTGAATAAAAAATAAAATAAAACCAAAACGTTGTTCAATCGTATATAAATGAGCATTTGATCATATACTTTAAATAAAATATATTTTTAAAATCTAATATTATAATTGAAAAACCCTATTTAATTATTGAATATAGAATTTATAAGAATAAAATAATAAAAATTAGCGTCAAAACATTAGCAAAATTAGTATGTATTGTATACATAGTTTTAATATTTTATAAGGAATTACTTACATTAAAAATATACTCCCTCCGTCTCATATCTATATATCAATTTATTTTTTCACAAAGTTTTAAAAATATTAGTATTATATTGGGATAAAGTAAAAATAAAGGTAAAAAGACTAAATTAACTCTATTAGTATTGTATGATATAAAAGTAATAGCATTTGTGTAATATATTGTAAATTGAAAGGGTATTTGTAATATTAGGTAGATAGTACAATTACTAAAAAAAGGAAATGGATACTTTGTTATGAGACGGATCAAAATAGAAAAATAGATATATTGTTAAGGGACGGAAGAAATATTAAATTACACTTTTAGAGTTGTTAGGTTTCAATTTCAAATTATTATTTTAGTATTCAACTCAAATGATTTCTAATAAAAAAATATTTTTATCTATTTTAAAATATCATATTAAATACTATTTAAATTTAAAATTAAAAAAAAAAAATCAATTCCAAACACAAACACAAACTAGCAAAAATGATATTAAAATCTTATAAATATACTATAATAATTTAATGTTAAAACATTCAAATCAATTATTGTCATGTTAGTGGTGGCATTGATGATCCTCTATTGTAGTGGTGGCGCTAAACTCTAAAAGATTAAAGTTATTGTCAAATTAAAATATTTGGTGGCAGCAACGGTAGCGACAATCCTCTAATAACTCAATTGATTTGTTGTTTGAGTTGTCAAGGGATGCACTGCCAGACGATGTTGTCCTCCCGAAGAACTTTTACGAGACTAACAAGATCACGAAGGACTTGGGGTTCACATACAATACTAACCATGCATGCATCACCAATTGTATGTTGTTTATCGGGCAAGATGTTCACGGTGATGCTTGTGTTGTGTGTGGGGAAAAGAGATTCGCACAGGGTAAAGACAGATCTCCCATGAAGAAGTTTAGGTACTTTCTGTTGATTCCCCGATTGCAGCGATGGTTCTTATCTTCCAAAACTGCATCTTCTATGCGATGGCATGCAGAAGGGCGTGTCGATGATGGCAAGATGCGTCACCCATCAAATAGTCCTACATGGAAGGGGTTTGATCATCGGTACCCCATGTTCGCTGAGGATATTCGCAATGTACGCCTTGGGTTGGCCACCGGAGGTTTCATTACAACATTTGGCCCGTAGTACTTGTGATAAATAATCTACCTCCATGGCTATGCATGGAGAAACCATTGTTCATCATCTCTATGATTATAGATGGTCCGCATGGCCTGGGGGATCGGATTGATGTCTTCCTTCAACCATTGATGGGTTGACCTAATTCAGAAGGTTGTTGTGCAGCGATCCTGAAAACGCGTCGGGAGATAGATGGGCACCAACGTAAGTGGAAAAAAAAAAAAGAACATTCTATTCGAGCTCCCTTATTGGGCTGAGAATGAGGTACGTCACAACCTCGAATTGATGCACATTGAAAAAAATGTGTGAGAATGTATTGTTTACATTGTTGGGGACTAAAGAAAAAACAAAGGATAATATCAACACAAGGAAGATTTGCAGTTATTGCAAATACAAAATTCTTTGCACCTGGTCTCCGACCTGAGGGGTTTTACATACTTGTCTGCTGCTATGTACTGACAGGCTCTGGGGGGAAAGAGCAAGAAGCGCTCAAAGGTTGACAGTGCCGCGAGTTCAGCCCATCCCCGCCGTGATGCAATTGGTTTAACAGATAGTGTAGCATTCCAGCAAGGGTGAGAAGAAGTGCAGAACGGACTTGCAGAGTTGAAGGCAACGATGGTTGAGTTCAATTCATCAAGGCTGATGTGTATGCATTCATGCATAGAAACTCTAGAGCAGTTACTGGCCTATCTGTAAGTAGTCGTAATTTCCATACTTTTTACAATTGTATCCCACAAGCTTTGGATGGCTAATGAATTTGCTTTGATCTGCATATTCTTGATAGACCACAACTCGTATTGATACGAGGTCTGAGCTTCTCAGGCCTGTGTCCGAATCACCTATGACGGTACGATGTCGTCAAACCCTAAAGTTCACTAGTAATCAGTGCAATGTCAACTTTAGGATAATCTTCTTGGACAACTATGTTTTCAAATCTTCTGAAATCTCTGTTGTAGGTCGGCACCCGTGTGTTTATATTATCTCGCACCGGGGAGAAGAAAATTGTTGCTGAAGGACTTCTACTCTGCCCTCTTGCACCAGGTTCGTGGCATTGTCTCTTGAGTTTTTTCTTTTAAATCCTTCAATATGATGTTCATACCGCATCGTCGATATTGTGACCGTTCAAGTCTCATAATGCAAATGATCATAGTTTTATTGAGTCTGGGCATATTCAATTTGACATATGTGACAGTTAGAATATTATGTATATATAGTATGTTAATGTAGGGCAGTGGCTATGTTGGTATTTTTCCGATTATGTGTTGATCTTATCTTTTTTATTGTTCATATGACATTGTTTACGGCTATGCTGCTAGTACACTATTTAGGTGCACATTGGAGTCTCAAAATTGATGAATGTTAGCTTTATTATTGAGTATCTTGCAGTCCTGAGCTGCCTACAACAGCTCTTTAAGTGATGGGCGAACTCATCTACGAGTGTCTGCTCATATTTAGTGTGTAAATGATAATTAATCTCCACGGGATATGATACTACAATACATTCATGGAGCAGTCTCATTTGGGGGTAACCATAATGATTAATTAATTAATTAAATTATTATTTTAATATTTTACATGATCTATTGTTTTACTTAGGTTTTATGGGTGGATGGTTGGTTTATAGTTCGAGTTGCAATCACATTGGAAATTATAAAGTAGTGTGTTTTGGTGCCTAATTCATGGGTTGAATAACATGTGTTGTAGTAAATATCCGAATGTACATACTCGTGCTATATGAGTTGGAAGTTTATACTTCAAATGTGTTATGGCATATTATATATACAGTTTGATCGTGTGTTGATATATACGGTGAACTACAGATTAAAAATTGCACTTGTGAATGTTGTAGGTTACATATTTTCCATTGTCAAGGTTTTCGTTACATCCACCTTAGTCTCGGAGACACCCCTTATTTTGCTGACAATTGCTGAGGTGACTACTATATGCGAGGTTGTCGGTGAAGACCCTATTGAGTGGAACTACAAGGACGTACGGATCTACTTTCATACCTTTCATGTATTGTCTTCCAAAACTTAAAAGAAATATTACTTAAACTAAACTTCCTTCTGTTGGCAATTGTAGTTCATGCGCCACCCCTGAAGCATTTCAATTGATTCCTTAATGTTTTGCTCCCGTTTGCCTTATCGATTGCATGTCGTAGCTGTGCTTGGATGGTAGGTTGTTATGGCTATGTGAAATACCTATGGATTAGATGCATAGACATTTGGAGTTATCTTTTTTGCGGTGAGAATTGTGGTTATGGATTGATGGATAGCCCTACTTGCTTATTACTAGTTTGGATGTTTGAAATGCTTGTGTTGTGCGGAACATATGTCGAAGTGGAGATATTGCTAGGCTTGTTTGATAGAATACTTTATTTTGTTGTTAGGTGATGGACATGGACTAGTAAGTACTGTTATGTTAATATCCTATGTTGGGATTCCCTTATAGTGTTTATTGTTTACAATTATGGTCGATCTTGATATTTATAGCATGGTCGTATACATAATATGTTTCGGTATAAAGGAGATCACAACAAGTCAATTTTTTACGCACAATTTCAATTGTATCATAACCACTATTTTTTATGAGACGTTATTTTTCTGTAACAAAAGGATAAAATGACATAACATAAAGTTATTTCTGAATGTTTGTTACGACCGTTTCCGTGACCATAAGTAAGGATAATTCTTTTAAGGGTTTAGTGACGTAACAAAAGGATGCAATGACATAACAAAAATATGAAATGACATAACAAAGAGAGGTTCTTGGATGTTTGTTGTTACGACTAGTTTCGTGACCATAAGAAAGTATATTTTTTATTACAGGTTCAATGAAGTAACAAAAATGCGTAACATAAAGCATACTTTGACAAGCGGTCATAGTAATGTTTTGGTAACGCGAGGAAATTTCGTAACGACTAAAAGTCCTGCCACATGCGCGAAAAGCTCGACTTATGATTACGAGAGAAAATTCATAACAAACATCATAACAAAAACTCTGTCATAGGGAGCGTTGACCAACAATAATAGCTACGAAAAGTTGCATGACAAAAGAAATTTGTTACGCGAGTATACATTACGGATAAAAGTCATCACTTAGCAAATACGCAAATTGCACGAAAAATGTCCGATTGTAGCATAAAACTATTTTTTCGGTAGTGGTAATAAATTTTTAAATTCAACATGTGATCCATCACCAAAAATAATATCATGTGTTCAAAGTATTAACTTGAAATAAAATACTACCTCCGTCCCACGTACCGTATCTGCTACATTGTAGACACAGTATTTTGGGAAGAGTGTAATTAGTAGATAATTAAGAATGTATTAGTGAAAATAATTATCCTATAATATAAATAATTATAAATTAAGATTAAGATAACTAATTAGTTTAATTAAAATTTATTAAAAAATAAAATTTAAAAGTTTAAAATGAGATTAAAGTGTGTAATCATTTTCCAAAAAAGAAAAGTGACATGGTACGTGGGATGGACAGAAACGGCAACGTGGACATGGTATGTGGGACGGAGGGAGTATATATTAGTATAAAATATGTTAAAAGTGTTTGCAAATAATATTCTTCAAAAATTTTCTTCAAAAATCGTTCAGAACAAACTCTATATTTCTATGGGCATCATGGTTCGCCGGATCGGCCGAGTCCGGTCCGACTCGGCCGATCCGGAATCAGAACGGTCAGTACCATTCCGGTTCGACAAAAATATCCGATATTTTGACGAAATTCTCCCATCCATTCATATCTTATCTAAAATTAATTTTAAATTTTTTTCTTACCCTTTTTTCTACTTTTTATTCATACCATTCGTACCAATTCATTTCAATTCGACCAGATTGGAGAAGAAAATATTTACCTGGAGAACGAGGTGTTTTGGGTATCATGGTGCTGGGAAGGTGGATTTTGGAATCGTCGGTGTTGAGAAAGAATTGGCGAAGAAATTTCGCTGCTCTTGAAGAGAGACTGTCGCTCGCTGCTACGTCTGTGCGCTGAAGAAGAGAATGGCCGTTCTGCGCGCTGAAGAAGAACGTGGGGAAGAAGAACGTGGGAGGAAAGAACGGTAAGTTTAATTATCATATTATTTTAATTAATTTAAATATTTATAAATATAGTACAAAATTAATTATTTTACTTTTTTTGGATTGAAATTAATTTTGAATTATTTTGATTAATTTGTTTATTTAATTGATAGATTTAATTATTTTAGATTTAATTATTTAGAATAATTTGTTTAATTAATTGATACATTTAGTTTAATTATTTTGGATTGTATTTAATTTTTATTTAATCTATATAAATTGCGTTCATTAAAATTAAAATTTTAGAATAACTTATAACTTTATTATTTAAAATTAATATTATTTTAGATAAAATTTGTATTAATTGTAAATTTATTGTAAAAAATTAATATTTTAACTAGATTTTTTATATAAACAAGTTAGTTATCTAGTTAAATTTTTGTATAAGTTTGATTTAATAATAAACTAATATATATAATTTGTCTTGTTAATTAATGAATTACTATTTATAAATAATTTAACAATTGTATTATTCAATTACAGAGTTTGTGTAAAATGGCACCACGTGGATATATTGGTTGAGATTATGCTACTCCTATCAACAACAATAGAAAACAAGCAAAATGCAATTATTGTGGTAAAATTGTTCATGGCGGAATTACTAAGATGAAACAACATATAGCACATGTTACAGGTCAAGTTGCAGCATGTACGAGAGCTCCAAAAGAAATAAGAGAGTTATTAAATAAACACTTTAATCCAATGAAAAAGTATGCGAACAACACATAAAAAAAAAAAAAAAAAGTTAGAAGCATTTCACAATTCCATTCGTTTGGAAGATGATTCTGATGAGGAAGAAGATGAAGTTTTTGAAATAAATGAAGATGAGATAGATACTCTTGAAAGAAAACACTTAAAAAGAACAATGGCTGAAAGCATAAATATGGAATTTATGGAGCAGCAGCGTAGACATTTTGTATCCGGAGATCTACCAAACTTGAATTTTAAAGCCGGTATATTTATTGAATTTATAAAATATATTTAAATATTAGTATTTTTTTTAGATAACAACCATATATGATCATATGTTTTTTGTTTTTTTTTTTTTTTTTTTTTTTTTTTTTATCTTTGTAGGAGGAAATAGCTCGAATACAAAATGAAGTAAAAGAAATTTTTCCGAAAGCCTTTATGAAAAAGACAGAAGGTTTGCATAAAAAAAAAATTGATCCATACATGTTTCAATCGAAGAATAAGTCTTTGAAAAATATGTTTCAAAAGATAATGCAAAAAAAATGGGTAGAGCAATTTTGAAATTTGTTCATTTTAATGAAATACCATTTCACGCTGCCGATAGTGGCCCTTACTACCAAACGATGATTGACACGATTGCATCGGTTGGACCTGGAGTTAAAGGATCTACTGGTAAGCAAATTGGTGGTGAATATTTAAACGAGGAGATGCAAGAAGTTGTACAATATGTTGATCCTTTAAAGCAGAAATGGAAAACATACGGATGTACAAATATGTGTGATGGTTGGAGTACTCGCACAAAACATCCAATCATAAATTTTATGGTGTACTATGATAGAGATGTGATATATCACAGTTCGGTTGATTGTATAAATAAGGCAAAGACTGCAGACTTTGTCTACACCTTAATGGATAAGGTGGTGGAATAAGTAGGGGTTTACAATATTGTACAAATTGTTACTGATAGTGAAGCTAGTATGAAGGCGGCTGTGAAAAAACTGCTGAGGAAAATGAAGCACATTTATTGGCCTCCATGCGATGCGCTGTGCATTGCATTGATTTGATGTTAGAAGACATCAGAGATATATTGTCAGTGAAAGATACGATAAAAGAAGCCAGAAGAATTACAGGATTTATATACAATAGTGATAAAGTGGTCAATTTGATGAAAACATATATGAATGGCCGAGATCTGTTGCGACCAAGCATAAAAAAATTTGCAACCGAGTTTGTTGCAATGGAAAGTCTTATGAGATATGCAAATGATTTGAAAAGAATGTGTACTTCTAGAGAATGGGTTGAGTACAATAATACCTCGAGGAGAAGAAATGAAGCCGGAGATATATCAGACTTGATTTTGAATGAAAGATTTTGGAAACAGATACGCCGAGTTTGTGGGGGTCATGGAACCCTTAGTGAAGGTTTTAAAAGTAGTTGATCAAGATAAAAAACCTTCACTACCTATCATTTATGAGGCAATGGATAGGGCAAAAATGACAATAAAAACCGCAGTGAAAGATTTTCAACAATATTGGGATATCATCGAAGTTGGTATAATCAATTGCATCAAGATTTGTATGCAACATATTATTGTTGTTACTTTTTTATTTTTATATTATGCTAATCGTTTGTTTTATTTTTTAATTTATATACATTCATGCAGTTTATTTTTTAAATTTTGGCCTTCAATACTCCGACACCTTTGAATTTGATTCATCAGAGGTTCGAAAAAGAGTAAAAGAAGTTATCAAAAGACTCGAGCCAGATTTGGATATACAAGTAAAGACTATGAATGAGGTAAATTGTGTGAAATTTATAAATAATATATATATATTAATTTCTAATAATTTTACCATTATATTGTCTATAGATAAACACATTTGTTAACAAAATTGAAGAGTTTGGAAGTGCACTTGCTATTAGAGCTGTATCTACATCTTTACCAGGTATGTATTATAAAATTTATCATGTAATTATTGACCTGTCGCGCGGTCAATCAAATATTTCACCTACTCCGTGATCACAATTTAATGTAATATAGGGGAAGGGATCGTCTCCACAGGGATTGTGTGATTCACTTTTTCATGTTCTAATGCAGTAAATAAAGGGAGATTTTTCTTTTATTATCTAATTAAAATAAAATAACAAAGCAATTAAATTAAAGGGGAACTGACTATAAGGGGATGTCTGGCTCAAGGGATGATGCAGTTATGGCACTTGTGTTCTATCATTAATTCAATTAAATTAATTCTTATTAAAGTATCAATAAATTGGTTATAGTTATCAACAAGCTCTGACAACCAATTTTTCCTTACG